TCTTTCTTTATACATCCTCTAGTTCATATTTTAACATAGTTAATTTGTTTTAAAATATTACATGCCAGCAATCCAAATTACTTCTCATATCACATTCTTCTTTTCTTGAGTTAATTCCATATGTTAATAATGGTTGCCAGGTTTTCATAAAACCTGACACAACTCCGGGAGGCAGTAGAAGACAGGAGGGCCTGGCGTGCTCTGGTCCATGGGGTCACGAAGAGTCGGACACGACTAAACGACTAAACACACACAATTATTTCCTGCCAATATGCTTCCACTTTGGGGCAAGAAATCCACATGTGTTCTAGTGTATTTTTACTTCCACAATTTCTCCAACACCTATCTGAGATTTCTCCTTTAATTTTGTGCAATTTTGTGGGGTACCAATTTTTACTTCCACAGTTTCTCCAACACCTATCTGAGATTTCTCCTTTAATTTTGTGCAATTTTGTGGGGTACCAATGCCATCTGTGGACTACCTTCTAAATAGTTTCTTTAGCTTTGACTGATATTTATATGGATATGTAGTCCATATTTCTGTCCATTCTTTTTCTGATATACTGATATTCAAATTAGTTTTTAAAATGTTATTTTAGATCCCATACCCCAGGAAATGCTTCCTCAACCAAATGTTTATATATTACTGAAGTTAGTCCCTTCCTTTTATTTCAGTCTTTTTAATATTATATTGTTCTAGTTCCATGAGCATTCTCAATTTTTAATATTATATTGTTCTAGTTCTCATAGGTCCGGAACATTGGTACAATTGAGTTGCCAAATTTCTTACCTATATTAAAGGTAAAGGTTCCCCTTGACAATTTGTCCAGTCTTGTCCGACTCTAGGCGGCGGTGCTCATCTCTGTTTCCAACCCATAGAGCTAGCGTTTTGTCCGCAGACAATCCTCCGTGGTCATGTGGCCAGTGTGACTAGACATGGAACGCCATTTACCTTCCCACTAAGGTGGTACCTATTTATCTACTCACATTTTTGCATTTTGCATGCTTTTGAACCACTAGGTTGGGGGGGATTGGGCTCACTCTGTCACGTGGATCCGATATTACGACTGCAGGTCTTCTGACCTTGCAGCACAGAGGCTTCAGTGGTTTAACCTGCAGCGCCACCACATCCCACCTTACCTGTATTGATTGTAGCCAATTAGTTTTTATTTCCTTTGTTTTGTCCTCTAACTGTCTAATTGTTATTGGTCAAATAGGTCTCTTATTTTATAAATTCCAATTCTTTTCCAATTTTTGAATTGTATATTTTTCTCTCTTGGTTTAAATTTTGGATAGTAAATTTCCGAAGTACAAGTCTTCAAAGGAGAAATCAGTTCCAGGTCTGGAGCAATCTGAACTTCTTACCTTCTTAATCAGGAACTAGTTAGCTGATTGTCAGAAGGAAAACTTTTTAACTCCTTCCTGGTCAAATAAAGATTTGTACTGGCAAATGGATTCTGTGTCTGGTTGTAAAAATATTTTAAAAGATATTTTTTCAAAGAACACTGAACAAATATTCAAAACTTGTTTAGGTTTGACTTGGTTCAGAACCCACTTTTCTGCCTTTTTCTTGGTCTGTGATATTTGTAAGACTCTCCTTCAAAACCATATTTCAAATGAATTGAAAAACACACACTCCATAATTCTTTACTGCCTTTCATTTACATAGTATGAATGATTTGGACCTTGGTTTCCAGTGGCAATGTTTGCTAATCCGGGGCCTTTCCTTTTGTAAATTTCAAAAGGGGAAGGGAAATATTTTGGAAATCATGCACACAACATGTTCATAGAGCTTTTGGTCCAATATGGCTTTTCTTACCAAAAGGAAAGGTTTTGGAAGCTGGAATACATCTTTGTCTGCGTTCAGCAGAGCAGGCATGGCAATGTTAGTTCAACTGAGCCATTACAGTGTGTGTATGTTTGTCTATTCTATGTGCTGCACTCACTCACTTTGCGTCACTGTTTCATTAAATCCAAAACAGCCCTTTAAGATATTCTGGCATAGAGGCATTGCAGCCATATCCTGCTTGTCCTTAATTCTGCCCGTCTCAGCAACTATAGTGCAAATCACATGATCATCCAAGATCCTCTAGCACTGGGTAATTTACATGAGGAAAGCTGCTATTGTAATTTATGTGTAGTTCATGTATACTTAAATGCACATTTTAAAAAGCCAGGAAATTCTTCAAAAAAAGATTATGAATGTGGGTTATTGTGCCTCTGTATCCATGATTCAAAACATCAGGAAATGGACTCAAATTGCTGCTTAATATCATGCCTGCATTACCAGCAGGGAAAAATGCCAAGGTTTTCATAGCAAAGGGCAGCCTGAAAGATGACAATACCAATGGCAGCAGCCAAGATTCCCTCTTGCGCTCACTACCATTCACAAAGTGATACCAAACAACAGAAAATCCCAGAAGACAACTAATATTTTTCATCAGTTAACCACTTCCCTTCCAAACACAAAGCTATTGTCAGGGCTGTTTTTTAACTAACATGAATGGTACTAAGCACAAGAGGGTATCCTCTGAAGAAAGAGGAAGATAAGAATATTTGGGGGGGGGGAGGAAGTTAGCATATATTGAATTAGGCCACTGTCAATTCTGGTTTGCAGCAGCTCTCCAAAGCATCTGGCAAGATTTCCTCTAGCCCTTTAAAAGAACACTGACATTTCCTAGTGGTTTCCCCGTACTAACTTGACTCAGCCAAGCTTAGCTTATATAATCAATCAAAATTTGGTGTTAACAGTAGTTTTGGTAGATACAAACTGAAGTGAAGTAGGTGGACTCAATCTGTTCTACAGAAAGACTACCAATACTTAACTGCTCTGCTTCTTGACTTCTTTTTATTACTCCTGATTGTGATGAGGTGTTTGAAACCACGAGCCAGTACTAGACATGGGGATGAATAAAAAAATGTGACCTGATTCATCAGCTATTCATTGCTTCATATTCTTGGAATCCAGAGACCCCAACTAATATGAAGCAATTAATATAACCCTTTTATATTTGTCCCTTCATTCCCTATATGGGGGTGGGGGGGCAGCAGCAGCGGTGGGGGGGCAGGGTTTTTTTTAGACAGCCTCTGGCTGTATAACTCCCCATGAATGGACAAATAAATTTGTGCTTCATCAGTTCATGGGGGGCAGATTCATGCTTCATCAGCTTTGATGGATCATGAAGCAGGACGAATCACCAAAATGGCAATTTTCCCCATCTTTAGCCAATACCTAGGTTTGTTGGTTTTGTTTTTTCCTCCTCCATACCAGCCTCTCCCTCTCCCCTCCCGTCTCATTATTGTGCCTTTTAGATTACAATCTTAAGAATAGAGGACATATTATTACTGGTTTTTGGGAATCTGTTCCGGCTGAAGAGTTGAAGAGTTAAAAATAAGGATTGGGCTCAAATACATAGAACACCAATCTGTGCATGACAGCATGACCTAACTGTGTTGCTACAGGGATGGAGAAAAGGCTAGCATCACATACAGGAGTTCCTGCTCTTATGTGGTCCTCCCTTATGCATATTCATTAATTTATCTTAGGCTTTTAAAAAGTACATCCAGTCTCCATTAGGAATGTAACAAATACTTGCTAATTAATTGTTCTTGTCAAAATAGGGTCTCCTGATTTCTTGTTGAAAAATTTTCAAGACTCACAGTTCCTCACCTCCATTGAGGTGGTTTGTTTTTCCCCCATTATTAGGATATTGGTAATTTAGATAAACTATGTTTTATCAAAAATAGTAACTTTCCCTTTGAGAAGCAAAGCAAACACAGAGAGTAAACACAGAAAATTATTTTTACACATGCCAAAAAAACCCAGTGCTTTTAAACCATAGAAGTCCATGCAACAAAGCAGCAGCTATTTTTTTTAAAAAAAATACAATTTGTATCGTTTGCACTGAAGTATTATTTTGCAGGGGGGAGGAAGAATCATTCTTGCCCACCAAAGTACCTCATTCTCACACAGAGGAAGGAGAATAGTTTTGTAGTTGAAAGGATTTGTCTCAGTGTGTATATGTGTGAATTAAGTGCCTCTGTTGACCTGGGAGGTGGTCTGAGATGGCCATTTAAGATCATTCCCTGTAAACACAGGAGATGACTTTTGACTGGAAATACAGAATGAACTCAGCTTCAACTCTGACCTGCAAAATTAGCAGTGTGCTACACCACAACAATACATAGGAAAACCTACTATCTCTCAGCACTGTCTCCAAACTGAAGTAGGAACATAATAGTGATCTGCTCAGCAGAACTGTTGTATGCTACTGTTTCAGTCCCTGTTATGGAGACAGGCTGGGTAACATCTCAAGGATGACATTTACTTAGGGTTGATCTCTTACTAGCTTCCTGACTACTCCTAAATTGACACATGGCAAGATTTCACTACCAGAATGGAATTACGTTATACACATATTTTAATATTATTATTGAAAATTAAAGAAAATGCTAGAATTTCTTGTTAGCATCATGCTTTAATTCATCCCGTTCCCATTTTACTGGCTTTCATCCCCCCCATTATTATGCACTTTATCACTGCCATGCAAATAATAATCAGATTTCTTTTTGTATGTTGCGTGGCATTCTATAAACAGTGCAGCCCTGTCTGATTAATGTTAAAAACTGAACAGCCAAGAATGTACAAGATAATACAAATAAGACAGATACCATGAACAGAGCACCTAGTTGCAATATAATTAATTCTAACTTGGCAGCAATTGCGTACAAAGTACCATATTTTCAGATGAGATTTGTCATTCTGAAATGCATATGAATTCTGAATTATTTTCAGAGGAAAAAAACAAAGTAAACAGTTATATAGATCAATTCCAAACGAGAGGGGGGAAAAATACCCGCGTATTGAATTTTGCAGCCAAAGCATGCAAATGCTAAAAATATACCTGAAGGTATCTGATCTGCATAATTAATTGCAATCACAGCAGGAAATGTACTGCAAAGCCATGCAGTGTAAATTAAGAATGAAACTGAAAACTCACCTTTACTTTTGCTCTTTGTAGCAGCCACTGGGACCAAGGTAAAGATTGCAAGAGGAGAAGAGAACAGATAGAAGTTAGTCAGAAGCTCTGACTGAGAATAGAGAAAGTTTCACTATGGATTAAAGGTGGACAAAATCTAAATCCAAGTATTTGACCTGTTTTTATATCAGCTATGTATTTTTTATCACCTATTATATGCCAAGACTAACAACATAACTTTTTTGAATTATTTCCAGTTGCCAAAGTTGCCTGTCAGTGACAGTGACATTTACTATTAGCCATAAATCATACTACAAACACAAAATGGCAAATTTCAGAATTTGTAAAAATATGTTGAACATTAAAAGTAGAGAATCAGCTATGTACTACTGGAGAATATTATATCAGCATAGGAAAGAACTTTCTTCTTGTTAGTTTTCCTAAGAAATGGATTACTATCTTTAAACACCCTGGTTTAGTGTGAATAATTCATTGGCAAAAATCCTGTTCCATACATGACACCATGTAAGGCTGATTATGTCATCAACTACAGCAATTATTCAAAAATAAAACTCCCCCAAAAGGTCCAAAAGGCCCCATGGATATATATAAATGTCCCTTGGCTTCCAACATCTTCCACAATTAAAGGGGTCGTACAAGAGCTTTTGGGCCTATGGAAAGGGTACAACATTTTTATCCCTCCTCCTCCTCCAAACAAAAATCACTGCTGATGATGACATCATCCACCTTACATAGTGTAGCTAAACGAACAAGATTTTAGCCATTCTGTTGCACATTGTTACTGACCTTCATGGCTGACTTTTTCAAAAATAGTATCCCCACCCTTGGAAGTCTCCCCCTAAATCCAACAGAAGCTGCATCTGCCCCAGCTATTTTGACTATTGACTGTTTCCCCCCTCTCTTTTTCGGTCTTTTCTCTTCTTTCTGAAAACAAATGTCATTTTTTTTCTCTCTGTCCCTTTCTACCCAAGCTTAAAGCCACACAGAATCTATATGGCTTCACCTAAAGGCTACAAGAATCACCACTGCTTTAAAAGTTCTGAGTGCCTGTAAAGCTGCTCTATAGTTCTACAGTTTCATAAAGTTACAACACTGTATTGGTAAAATAACTAGGTATGTTACCCCCAATTAGCCAACAGCTGAGGGCTGGTTGAGGTGCCATTAAGCCTGCAGAGACTGTAGTGTATCCAAACCTCTGCCATCCTAGAGATGATGGAAATTACTTAGGACTATTCTGACCCAAATCTAACTTTGCACCAGCATAGTGGCAGTGAGTTTGGGCTAAGATCACCTCCCCTTTGCTCTTCCTCCCTCGCTTTATTTTTTTAACCTGTCTGTGGCCCTCACCCAATACAGCTATTGGGCCAACAGATCCAGTTGTGCTAGGACATCTAAGACAATTTCATATTAAAAGGACAGTGTTTCTTGATTATTCTTTCCACCAAAATAACTCTTTACAGGTACTTCTAACTCATTATTTCCAGATTTTGCATTGCATATTAGTTCCTTTTAACATATAAATCCTTTCACTTTTTAAAAAATCACTCAAATATACTCTTAAGATTTCATTTATATATAAAAAAAGATATTTGCATGGTTTTGTGTTTTTAATAAGACGGGATTTGGATATGATTTATATGACACTTCCTGCCCTCACTTATACTAGAACATTCACTACCCAATCAATAAATCAATTTTCATGAACCTTTTAATTTATTGAAGACCAAGAAGACCAACACTATCCAAGTGTACTTTTCACTCCACATTAATTAAGGTCAGCTATACTTGCTATAACACCTGATACCAATACAGCAAGCATGAATTCATGTCAGATTATACAGACTCCTAAAATCTTCTCTCCTTACTCGTCATCATCATTGTTGTCATCATACCTAGAACTGTGTCAACAACAAAAATCAGACATACAGAAATATATCCATCTCAAAAGAAAAAAAGAAAACAAGAGGAAAAGGAAATACTCTGTAAACAAAACGTAAGAAAACTCCTGTTCTACACCAAAGTGATGTGTTGTCCTTCTATAAAGATAATATTTCTATATTAGAAGAGTTTGTGTATTGTTAGATCCACCATGAGGAGGCATGTTTACAAACTATTCATGTGATGTCAAAGATAATGAAGTCATACAGGCAACTTCATGTAAATAAATAAATAAATAAATAAATAAATACACACACACACACACACACACACACACACACACACACACACACACACACAGACACAGAATCTCCACTCATAGTCCTAAATTACCACTGGTCAATTATGAATTTTGCAGCAACAGCAAAATAGTCTACAACAGTAGACACAGTAGTGTCCTGTCTATGGCACCACAACATCATATGTATGTCTACATGTATCACAATTGCCCCAAACACCCTGATTCATGTTATGATATGAACTACATAGAAAGCTGTGTTCAACCTATCAAGCACTGAATGCTTCTAGAGCACCCTCCCTTACTTGTCTCACTGCAGTTCATCTTACTCTTTAATAGCTCTTGTACTTCTGTGAATATGCTCTTAGTTCTGAAACACCACTGGAAACGGAAATGACAAAGGAAATAATAAAAATGGAGAAATAATAGAGACATTTCCAATACATTCCCAGCTACAAGACTTTTAAGCAAGTCTTACAAGGATCTCTTCTCGGCACTTGCAAAAATATATTCACCACCATTAATGATACCAATAGTCAAATAGCAGCATTGCTATCCTAAGAATTATTAAACAATAACTTCAGAGTTACTCTCTCTTTCTCAAAACGAGTGCTGTCTCAGTTGCTGAGGTTGGCTACCATCATGGTATATCTGTACTTATCTCTTGCTGTGTGGATTAATTGTTCTGTATTAAAGCCTGAACAGTTTCTGATATTACTCATTCACCAAATCCAATTTATACCTTTCATCTCTACTCTCAATCTTCTCTCCAACAATGTGTTGCAGTATATTATATTTATCATGATGAATTGTATGTCCAAGATATGAAAGCTTCCATTTCTTAATAAGCCACTCTATTTTTGTTTGTTTTCATATCCCATGAAGTACCTCCTTCATTCTTTATTTTATCAGTCCACGAGATGTGAAGGATTCTTCTGCATGTCCACATTTCAGAAATATTTATTCTGTTGAGTATCTCCTTAATAATCCAAACCTCACATCCATTTAGGAGGGCTGACCATATGTGACACTTTAAGCTGTTTGTTACACAAGATTTTATTCATCTTCATAAAAGTTGTTCTAGATATCTCAAGTCTTTGCTCTATTTCTACTACATTTTTTTCTAAAGACTGTAAGCACTTCCACAGAAATCTATTTCCAAAAAAGAATGAACAAATGAAAGAATGAAAGAAAACTGAAAGCTTTCCCTTCCATGGATTCTGTAAAAATATTTAATATTGGGGAAATCCCTACCCCTCCTACCTTCAGTAAAGTTCTGTAAAATTATTGTAGCATTCTGTCAACATATTATTTTAATAGGGAAAATTGAGATTTTGATTTCGTTTCAGGTATCACAAGAACAAAACCCAACATAGAAAATGAAATAAGACAGAATATAACATGCCAAGATCCCCAGCCTGGCTCTGTTTCTCATGTGGTAGGAAAGGGGAGCACAGTGCTGGCTGGCCACCATCTACTCTACATACAGTCACATACCCAAAGCCTGTACACCAGGTTGAATTATGCGTGACCTATGGCCAAGGTTGGCCAGTCAGCAGGCATCTGGTGAGATTGTAGGGGGATCTGCTTCTGGTGGATCAAAAGGCAGCGGTTTTCACCCGTCAACTAGGTAAAAATTTCAAAGGTTCCCCCAGAACTTCTCTGATAGTCTTCACTGCAACTTTTTCATGCACCCATCTATCCCTCTTTGAAGATTACCCATATCAGTTGTCTGTTTCTGCTTTATGTAAGAATAGGGCTTGGATTTATGTTGCCTTTGGTTGATAGTGACTGAGAAGTGGCATGTCCATGTCAATGATCTGTTACTATTGTTCATTGAAGAGACTTACCAGCCATATTCATGAAAGTTAAAAAGAACTCTTCATTTTTGATGATCATTTAACAATGCAATCTGCTCAGCAGTAAGTCTCATTAAGTTAAAGAGAACTTGCTCTACAAAAGTGACGAAAGAATTGTAGCCTGGATAGACTATCTAAGTTTCTGAAACATTACTTTTTTTTTCTTTTTAGTATTTTTTATGTGTGCTCTGAAATTCATATAATTTGAATATTCGTCCAGTTCCATCGTTTTTATTATTATTATTATTATTATTATTATTATTATTATTATTATTATTTTATTTTCTGTCCCACCCAACCCGTAGTAGAGCCACCACTCTGGTCGGCCAGCAGATCATCATCATCATCATCATCATCATCATCATAGGAATTTCATAGTTTGTGATATCTGGTTTTTAAGATCTGATCTAGCATCTCTTAACTCTGATGAAATCTTACACACAGAAATGTCAGAGCAAGGATAAATTGTGCAAGGATGTTGTGCAAGGATCTTACTTCACCTGCTTTTCAGGTTTGGGTATCCAAACTAGCTTTGAATCTGACATACTCTAATAATCTCAACCTAAGGTCATGTTTGGTGAATTCAGAACAGAGTAAGAGGCATATCCGCAACCAAAACAAGATATAACACTATTTGAGTGCTTGTGCTAAACACAGGGCATGGAAACAATAAGTGTGAATAAAGAACATGCAAAGGAAATATAACTGGAATTAGGTCAGGTTACAAGGCTTATTTATCAAATTATAATTCTCTGCATATTCATTCTAAATGAATATTAGTGTCATCTGTGCTATATAAGTGTCATGTTCAATAGTTGCAAATGTTTCAATTGATGGGATGGTTGAATGGCAATTCAGCTGTCAAAGTTCACAGAGCAATCTAATTAGATGAAAATGGTAATTAAAATCCCTTCCCCCCCTCGTGAAATGAATTGGTTCCTATTAGCACTCCGCCTACATGGTATATAGAGGTTTTTTTCACAGTGAATAAA